TCTCTGTCTATGTGTCTCTCTGTCTCTGCGTCTCTCTGTCTCTGCATCTCTGTGTCTCTCTGTCTCTGCGTCTCTCTGTCTTTGTGTCTCTCTGTCTCTGCATCTGTGTCTCTCTGTCTCTGCGTCTCTCTGTCTCTGTGTCTCTCTGTCTCTGTGTCTCTCTGTCTCTGTGTCTCTCTGTCTATGTGTCTCTCTGTCTCTGCGTCTCTCTGTCTCTGCATCTCTGTGTCTCTCTGTCTCTGCGTCTCTCTGTCTATGTTTCTCTCTTTCTCTGCGTCTCTCTATTTCTCTGTCTCTGCGTCTCTCTGTCTCTGCGTCTCTCTGTCTCTGTGTCTCTCTGTCTCTGCGTCTCTCTGTCTCTGTGTCTCTCTGTCTCTGCGTCTCTCTGTCTCTGCGTCTCTCTGTCTCTGCGTCTCTGCGTCTCTGTGTCTCTGCGTCTCTCTGTCTCTGTGTCTCTCTGTCTCTGCGTCTCTGTGTCTCTCTGTCTCTCTGTCTCTCTGTCTCTGCGTCTCTTTGTCTCTGCATCTCTGTGTCTCTCTGTCTCTGCGTCTCTCTGTCTATGTGTCTCTCTGTCTCTCTGTCTCTGCGTCTCTCTGTCTCTGCGTCTCTCTGTCACTGTGTCTCTCTGTCTCTGCGTCTCTCTGTCTCTGTGTCTCCCTGTCTCTGTCTCTGCGTCTCTCTGTCTCTGTGTCTCTCTGTCTCTGCGTCTCTCTGTCTATGTGTCTCTCTGTCTCTGCGTCTCTCTGTCTCTGCGTCTCTCTGTCTCTGCGTCTCTGCGTCTCTCTGTCTCTGTGTCTCTCTGTCTCATCGTCTCTGTGTCTCTGTGTCTCTCTGTCTCTCTGTCTCTGCGTCTCTTTGTCTCTGCATCTCTGTGTCTCTCTGTCTCTGCGTCTCTCTGTCTATGTGTCTCTCTGTCTCTGCGTCTCTCTGTCTCTGTGTCTCTCTGTCTCTGCGTCTCTCTGTCTATGTGTCTCTCTGTCTCTGCGTCTCTCTGTCTCTGCGTCTCTCTGTCTCTGCGTCTCTCTGTCTCTGCGTCTCTGTGTCTCTGCGTCTCTCTGTCTCCATGTCTCTCTGTCTCTGCGTTTCTGTGTCTCTCTGTCTCTCTGTCTCTGCGTCTCTTTGTCTCTGCATCTCTGTGTATCTCTGTCTCTGCGTCTCTCTGTCTATGTGTCTCTCTGTCTCTGCGTCTCTGTGTCTCTCTGTCTCTGCGTCTCTCTGTCTCTGCATCTCTGTGTATCTCTGTCTCTGCGTCTCTCTGTCTATGTGTCTCTCTGTCTCTGCGTCTCTGTGTCTCTGTGTCTCTGCGTCTCTCTGTCTATGTGTCTCTCTGTCTCTGCGTCTGTCTGTCTCTGCGTCTCTCTGTCTCTGCGTCTCTCTGTCTCTGCATCTCTGCGTCTCTCTGTCTCTGTGTCTCTGCGTCTCTGTGTCTCTGTGTCTCTCTGTCTCTGCGTCTCTCTGTCTCTGCGTCTCTCTGTCTCTGCGTCTCTCTGTCTCTGCGTCTCTCTATCTCTCTGTCTCTGCGTCTCTCTGTCTCTGCGTCTCTGTCTCTGTGGCAACGCAGGCTACAGCGTGATGGAGAAGGCAAGCTGCCGTCTGTCGGTCCATCTGCTGCTCAGGGAAATCTGAGAAAATGATCCCGTAAGCACAGGTTGTTGGTTTGTGTGTGTGTGTGTGTGTGTGTGTGTGTGTGTGTGTGTGTGTGTGTGTGTGTGTGCGTGCGAGGACTAAATGAACATCTGGATGTGAATGTGACGCCACAGCTTAGCTTGAGGGTGTGTTTGTAAGAAAGGATAATTTCCACAGAGCAGTGGGGTGTGTTGAATCTTCTAACACAACTCAGTCCCTTTGAACGTCTCCATGTTTCCTCGTGTGACGAGCACAGACCGAGACTCTGTGACAACAACACAGCAGAGTATGAGTGTGAAGAGGATGGACGTTTTTACAAGTGAGAAGCTGACCTGTCCCTCTAACTCTGATAGTCTGAACCAGTGAAACCAGTTGTTTCAGGAATCATCAAACCTGGACATGTCTCCGGTCCATCACAGAGACACCTGGACATATTCTCTGATCTGGGACGTCTTGTGTCTCAGAGCCCCAGGCCAGCCTCAGCTCACAGTAATCAGAGGTTAAAGTGGATTTAATGCTGATGAAAATGTAAAACTTTAAAAGAACATATTAAAAAGGCTGGAAGAACAGGTTGTTTTATGTTTCTGGTACAAAAAAGAACTGACAGCTGTCAGCTGTTATTGAACAAACAAACTGATTTGTTGTATTTTATCACCTCAGGTTTTCATGAATGTTTATCTGTTCAGTCTGAACATGCTGAGTCTGCATGTTACCACCAAACTGTTTTTATCAAAACAATATAAACTCTGTTCCTCAGAGTCCTCCATTTATTGTAAATTGAATAAAATCACACTATTCTCCTGGTGAAAAATCACTGAAATTGTCAAGTTTTCAATGTGTTTTTTTTTAGTATCATGAAGTAAAGAAACAGTTTGTTTATTTCTGATTTTCTTTGACGTCTCAGATCCTGTAGAAGAAATATTGTTAGTAAAAACACAGCTGAGAACATCGACGCAAACAGTTCAGCTGAATAAAAGAAGAAAAGGAACGCCTGATAGCTACAACTGAATAACTCAGAGTTAACCAATTCAAGATGGCCGCCTGTTTTACAAACCCTGAGCTAAAACTGGATGTGTTTCCTGTAAACTGGTTCATTCTGGCTGCTCAGCTGGTTTTCTGTTAGCATGAAATGATTTAAGGTCCAGTAATAAAGCATTGCTCTGTGCGTTCGGTAAAGCAGCATCAGTTTGAGCCACGTTTCTGCAGACTGCAACACAAGATGACCTTGTTTTTGTCACTGCTCAGCAGATTGGAAAAACAGGGACACAAGGGGGAGGAAACCATGTTAAAAGTTCAGTTTCTTTTTCTTAAAGAAAAGAAAAAATCAAACCGGCTTTGAAATTTCTCTTCTTGAAATGAAATCCACGGCTTTGTGTGAGGCGGCTCTGGAGTTTTTATTTATTGGTTGTTATGAGAATGAGTCAGCACTCGGGGCATTAGAGAGAAACCGGAGAGCAGGGTGTGTGTGTGGATTCTGTTTAAAGCTGCACTTACACGTAAACCAGGCGATAAATGGATACAAATATATATTTATTCCTCTCAATGAAAGCAGTTTGTGTTCTTTAATAATGTCGAGACATAAATCTGTAGCAACACAAGCTGAGAGGATGATTATGGAAAGATTTTAGAACAAACTTTTTTATCCTCTGCTGTCCATAATCACCTGTGTGCAACTAAACTTATTTATGCTGAGCAAACAGGTCACAAAACCTTTCAAAATAAAAGCCCAGTATTCCTTGAAGGGGTGCTGATCAGTCATGTTTACCAGAGATCCAGTCATGTTAAGTGACAAAGCCTTGGAACAATTTATTTAGTTTTCAGTGACTCTCAGCCACTACCACATCAGGTTTCAGGTCAACATCTGTAAAATTAAATGTTAGTGTTAGCTAACGTTGATTAGCTGTGACGGCCATCTTGAATTGGATAACTTCAAGGGCCAGCTCTTCAAAAAATGTAATCTGGATCAAATTTATCCAGATTTGGAAATCCCATTCTTTGTATACAGAATCAAGGAATCTGTCTTACTTTTATTCCAGTTTTTCAAAGCAACAGTAGATTGGACCACCCTAATCCAGACCCCCTGTTTTCAAGATGACCAAATCCAGATTAGCAGTGCTCTAAATCAGTGGTTCCCAAACTTTTCAGCTTTTGACCAACAAAATACCAGCAGCAGAGACTTATGGCCCCAGCTGTTGTTGGTTGATGAACATTGTTTTCATGTCAAATAAACAACAGCATAGATACTACTGTCTTTTTGTCCATTTTAAGTACACTAACTTTACTATTTTGTAACAACAAGGGCAAAAAATTTTTGATAGTTGAAATTTTTTAGTGTAATTAATTCAGAAAATCTTTTCAGGCCCACACTTTGATGTTTCGGGACTCCACTGTGGGTCCCGACCCCAACTTTGGGAACCACTGCTCTAAATGAGACAACATCACACTGTGGGCTACCAGCTGAGTAAAAAACAACAGGTAGAAGAGCCAACATGGCGTCACAAAACTAACATAAACATCCACTTCTTTTTATCGTTTCTGACCTCTCATCTGAGCCACAACAAATAAAGAGCAAATATTTTGAAAATGTCCTAATTTTAAAAAAGGGTAAATGTCCAATAATAGCAAAATAAAGAAGATTTATTGTTCTTGTTCATCTGAGGAGAGAGCAGCATCTCCACGCCCGGCTTTGGATGGATCTGAAGTTCAGCTTTGGTTTGCTGCAGTTTGGTCAGTTTGATTTGTTTGTAATGGTTAGAAATTATTTCTGACAGGTTCATCTCTGATGCTTGCTTCTTTGAAATGAATATACAGTGATTAATTACAAAAAACTGAATTTATTATTTTTGTTTATTATTGAAATCTGTTTATGGAATTACAGTATTTCATGGGAACAAGATAATTTTATTAGACTTTTACTTTAACTTTACTGAAAGGCTTAATTGTGGCCTATGTTTACTTTATCTTCTTTATCACTGAGCAAGATAAAGTATATATACACTAAATTATATATATGTATTATTTGGATATTTTTACATTTTCTTCCTGAATTCCTCCTTGTAATCCTAACCCCTGTTGGGATCAGGATAATCCTGTTTTTTTAGGTCAAATTTATCCAAACCCTGCTGAAAGGTTATAAACAACACAAACTGAAGGTTTGATCCAGATTAAAACTAGGATTGGATTCTGCGATCCAATCTGATTTCAGAATCTTTCTTTCCCTTTGAACAACCCATTTTCAAGATTTGATCCAATCCAATGACCAAAATCTGACCAGATTACCTTCGAACAACTGGCCCAAATATTGATTTTGCAGAAGTATTCTTTAATATTTTTCTGAAATGTTGAGTAAAATCTGTCCAGTCATTGGTGAGATATTTTTCTAACAGACTTGACTCCACACAGTTATTTGTGAACCTTATTGCAGGTGAGTTGGCTGTGGCGGCCATCTTGAATCACCAGTATGTAACAACACAGCTTCACGATGAAGACGGAGACAGAATACTTTACTTTTCAAATTCTCACCCTTTTTGTGCTTCTGCTTCCTTCTCAGATGGGTCCACCTCCTGAAGGTGTTGGTAGGCGGGGCCTGAATATTTGCATCCTCCAATGGGGTTTAGCCTTCCTCTGGGTATGGGCGGGGCACTGCGAGGAGCTGACCAATGGGCTGACCTTGTTTTCTGCTCAGGGCTGTGAGTTAAGAAGCCACTTCTGAGGAGAAAAGAAAGTTTTTAAAACTGGTTAGTTTTTTTTTAATTGAACAAAAAACAAACAACCTGCCTCAGTCCCACAGTGATGACCGGACCAGACCGGACCACAGGGTCTGCTGATGACATTTCTGAATAAAAGCTGGATTCATTCAGAAGAGAACACAAATGCAGCTCTAACATTTTTATGGTTGATGGTGAAACTAGCATTTTGAAAAGAATACACCCACACACATTATGTTTCATGCAGCTGGACAGTAAAAACATGTGGGTGTGGACAGAGAGACTAATGGTTGTTTGCAGTGGATGCTGAGCTCCTCCTGAGCTTACAGAGGGGAGGATACAGTTCATGCAGCTTTGGTTCCAGCTCAGGAGACTGAAAAACTTCACTTGTCCTCTGCTAGAAAATCACCTGCTAACATTAACAAAGGGCTAATAATGCTAATCTGAAAAACCAGCTCCTCCTACAGAGGCCGAGTTAAGAAAGTTCAGGAATGGCTGTTTTATTTTACTGTCCTTCATTAACAGTACAGCATTTCACATCATTCTGAACTGAGTAAAATGTTGATGTTTAACTGCATTCATGTACAAACTTTAGAGGTAGGTTCCTTGATGAGATGTTTGGTTGTCGACCACCAAACATCTGTAATAATTATTGAATGAAACAAACAATCAGCTATTCTTTGTGGGGAAAAAACTGACCGAGTGTTAAAAAATAGGAAAAGGTAATTTTTTAGCCAATATTCAGGGTAGAGTTTGAATGTTCTATCTGTGCATTTGTGGGTTTTCTCCGGGTACATGACTGTTAGGTTAATTGCAACTCTAAGTTGTCCCTAGGTGTGAGTGAGAGACTGAACGGTTGTCTCTATGGCTGTGTCCAAAACGGCAGGCCGGGTCCTCCGAAGGTCGAATTCGTCGGCTGCATACGTCACAGCGCCGAGACGAAGGACGTCCCAAACCGAAGACTCCTCCGATGCGGCCGACAAATACGTCCTTCCTTTGGCACGAATCGAAGGACAGGTCTGATGGATCCTTCCCGGCCCAACATATCCCATAATGCATTGCGGCCCGACCAGAGATTTGTTTAAGCTAGTAATGGCGGACGAAGCGAGAGAAAAGAATACGTTTTAAATAAAAATATGGCAATATAAAAATTAAAATTTTTTAGCAGTTGTAACTCTAATACTTTTATCATTTGTATGGACATGTTTTTAAATATTATTTTCATCATAAAAAACGCGAAATAAACATGAACCTACAGCGGGTCAATTAGTTCTTCTAATGATACCTTTAAGTTAATTTTATAGTTTTGTGATATTAATAATGCTAATATATCGATATTTTTCTAATTTTGACCTATTTTTGCTTCTGTTTAGCATCATCACAGTTGCTAGGTGACACGACGTACGCCGGGGTAAGGAGGGGAGGCTAGACCGTCCAAATTCACAGCCTCTTTTTTTCCAGTCTTCCAGGTCTACCAAGGACCCGGCCCGCCTCGACTGGGTAGTCTGGGTCCTCCGGAGGACCCGGCCTGTCGTTTTGGACACAGCTTATGTGTTCCTGTCATGGACCATTCAGGAAGTCCAGTTGTTTCATTTTTATGCCTCGCCCGAGGAGGCAGACTGTTCTTTGGTTGTCCGTCTGTGTGTTACCAGGTGCAAAATTTCTGTAGCACTGTAGCTCCTGAGCGAAGCTTCTGATGTGAGTCCAAATTCACAGGATAATTGTTCTTGGTCCATCAGAGGGCTGAAAACATTTTGGGGTCAAAAGTCAAAGCCGAAGGTCAGGTAAAGTGATCTTTGTTGCTTGAATCCCCTTATTTAGGATGGTACATTGGCCACTGTATTAATGATATGGTAAATATCAAAGAGGAGCTCATAGACATTGTTGATATAGTTACACACTTCTTAGATCATTTAAGTCCAAAAACAGAGGCAAACAGGTAACTGCATGCCTAGTGCTTTAAATGCAGATGGGTTTAGGGCAGGTGGAGGCAAACCAGTCGATGCTTTGGCATCAAATTCTACCTTCTTTAACATTTTTATTTGGACTCCTCAGCTGAGGTACCAAGTGAAGATTTGACGACAGCAAACTGAAGGTCACTGATTGGCTGGGAGGGACATCAATGATGAGAGCAACTCCTTTACAAGAATCAAACCCACCATTATGAAAACCTCACAACCACATTCTTTAAAAAATCTGTATAATACAACCATCAAAATAACATAACACTGTGGTTTACCATTATTCTGACACATGTCAAAGTGTCCCTGCAACACACTGAACCCCACTGCCTCAGATGGGTCCCATCAGTAGATGATTTATCTGTATTACCTTTGTAGAGACGTAGAGAGTTGACTGAATATGTGTGAATGAGTAAAGTGCACAGTGTTATGACTGACTTGAGCTTGGTTGGTTTGAACCCCAGATTCAGGATTGAGTGAGGGTAACAAAAGGTGCCAAAAAAAAGGTTTTATTAACAAAAAACAAAGCGCTGACGTAGCAGCAATAATACAAACAAGGACTTGGCATGAGACGAGACAACAGAGAACAAAGATCTGACAAAGACTGAAGACAGAGAACAGAATATAAAGGAGAAACTAATGAACACAAACAGGAAACACCTGGGGGAGAAACATGAGGATCAGGTGTGAGTGGGCGGGGCTGGAGCAAAGACAGGCAGGAGGAGGAAAACAGATGACGAGACAGAAAACTAGAATAAAACATTAACACAGACACAAATCATGACACACAGACTGTAAAGAACTTATCCTGTACAGTCTATTTACCAATTATTTATACCTGGGGACAGTCTAGAGTCACCAACATGCACCTGAAGAAAACCCACATGTGCACAGGGAGAACATGTAACCTCCACACAGAAAGGAGACCGCTGCTCCATTGTGTCGCTCATGATAACTGATAAGAAAAATGTATATCTGGAAACGTTACAAATGTTCAGAAGTTTTATCAATCTATTTTTATTTTATTAAATTTCTAAAAGGCAAAAGGTTTGATTTATCATACTCAGATTGAAGCAGGTACACACATACAGTATATAGTACACACAGACAGTATATAGTACACACATCAGAGCCAAAACTCATGAAAACGTGGACTTTACTATTTTACCGACAGAGGAAATTCCTTCTTCTTGCTGCTATTATAGTTTGAGTTTGGCTTTAATGTTTTCACAAAACACCACTTCAGACCTTCATTCATATTTAAATCTGCTGTTTTGAAGCTGGATTTGCTTCCAAAATGGGTTCTTAGCTGTAACAACAGACAGCTTACAGTCAGACTCTTAACACTGCCGGATGACTTTTCCATTCCTGAGTAGAAATGAGATATTTTTTCCTCCACAACAGACAAACTAATCTCACCCATATTTTGTGAATTCCCAACACTCTGTGCTTCAGACAACAGTGTTCGAGTCCTTGCATAAGATAATGTGACTGCAGACAAATAAATCCTGATTGTCCACTGCAGATGGGATTTGCTGTACGTTAGGACTGCCAGACGAGTAATGTTCGAAACAAGAGAAAACATTTAGCAGCAGTTTAGTGTTTCAAACTAGAGAGCTGGTTTGTCTGTAAAACATGCTTGTTAACTTGCAGCTGTCCTGTAAACGTCTTTATTTAGCTGTGATGACAGAAAACAACAAATTTATATTTTTAAACAGAAAATTTACAGCCATATTTTTACAAACCAATCACATTTACTGCACCCAGTAAACAGGTTATAATTACTAAAAATGATAAAGATTCTAAAAGACCAGTCTCTGAGCTGAAAGCACCAATAATTTACTGGTTGTTTATTGGTGCTACAACAGTTTATTCTTTCAGAAATCACATCAGGGTTTACTTTATTACTCAGTCAGATTGTAACCTGGGGTTAAAGGCTTTACTCTGCAGAGATGTGGTGGCTACACTCAAAAACATTTGTGTTGGATTTACAGGTTCTACTCAACTGAATGATGTAAATATAACACATTTACTTCACATTCATCTAGAGAGTGGCACATAAGCAGTGTGCAGGTGCGCATGTGCAGTCAAAAAAGGAAAAAGCACACCAGATGTAACGTCATAAAGCTCCCTTGCGTACCTAAGATTGTACCTGGTTGTCTGTCAAAACAACAGGTAGCAGGGCTCTAGAAGTGCAACCAGTTTGGTCGCAAACGTGATCTGATTTTTTAAAATAAAAAATAAAAAAGAACCCAGCCGCACGGGTGTGAATGGATCGTTGTTCGGTGCGCCAGAGTGAAACCCTGATACAAGGATTAAATGAACACTGCCTTCAACAAATCAGACGAAGTCCAGAGCTGTTTTGTCCAATCAGAGCAGAGCAGGGCGGGACTTCCAGTGAGAGCAGGTTTGGTTGAAGCAGCGGCTCGACTGGAGTTGCTGCAGCGACGCGATCAGTCCTGACTTCTCCTCTCCTCCTGCACTTTGCTCCTGAACTACCAGACTTTGGTCTGTAAAACCTAACTTTATATTAAATAAATGTTCAGAATGTTGTTATTGAACAGATCTGTCCAACTCTGTGTGAGTGACTAAACTCTCCTCCTGAGAGACTGCTGTATGAGCACATCGCTGCATGCAGGCTGTCTGTGAGATTCACTGAGGTTTTCTAATTCAACCACATTAACTAACAGAACATTTGTTTGTCCCGTATTAAAACAAAGATGATTCTCTGTTTAACACCCCAGTGAAAAACATTTTATATATTAAAAAATAAAATAAAAACAACTTGCCATGTTCTCTAGGTGTGTTTTAAATGTTATTTTAATTTATCATAAAGATCCACAAATTTCATTCACAATTTTATACAGTGGTTTGCAAAAGTATTCATACCCCTTGAACTTTTCCATATTTTGTCACATTACAACCACAAACATAAATAT